GGTAGCTCGGAAAAACCGGGAGGGCAGCCTGTTTTTTCTGAGCAATTCGGAAATAGGCGGGTGGGTAGCTCGACAAAACGGGCGAGCAGCCCGTTTTTTCTGAGCAAATCGGATTGAGCGAAAAATCGCGACCTTTCGGGAAAAACTTCTGATTTCTTCACACCTTTCGACATTTGGAGTGTTTATTAACACCCCTGGATATCCTAACACGAAAGAGAACAGATCTAATTCGTTTTTTGAGAGATTTGAGAGCACTTTTGTGGTTGTTCTTGCAAAACACACACAAAAGCCTTTTGTTCATCTTCTTCTTGCAATTTCTTATATTTGTGTTCTTAGTAGAGTAAACTAAGATCACTTCTCTCTTCATTGTATCTCAAAGACGTATTCCGGAAAGTCCTTTGCTCGTATAGGACGGAATAACGTTTTTAGGAAAATGTATCACGCCTTGAAGAGTTATCCGGTTCCTATTTACTTTTCTGTTATTGTTCTTCTTTTTATATCCCAGATTTCTAACATCGGTCTCCCTCTCAGACTCACACTCACCAAATAATGAGAACTCACTCACTGAACGAAATAGACTAAGAAATTATGCTCATACTCTCTGTAGAGCTGATATGCACTTGGCCCTCTATTTAAACTACTCTGGTTCGTCTTCAAATTTCCACGAAATGATTTGATCGACTTCTCCTTGATTCTTGCTGATTTTGATTCTATCTTCAAGATCTCATCTTATCTCTTGTATTTGACTCTATCTCTTTAGCCTTTGACTTTATCTGAATCTCGTCAGTTGCACCTCAGGTTTGCTCGAGTGCTATCTCGCCGGATTCTTCTCCTGAAATCTCTCATAAGTTGTTGAACCTGCAACAACCTTTTAACAACCAAAATAACATGTGCAAATAATTGCACTAACAGTCTCCCCCTTTTTGGTTATTTCAGATCATGCACACAAACACAAACCCTTCCAATGATTTCATCAAGGCTAGAGTCATCAAAACACACGGTTACCAAAAACAAACAGAAAACTTCAGTTCATCACATAGAATCATCAAGAGCATAGAAGTTCAGATCATAAGCAAACGAAACTCAAAAACAAAGTGATGAGTCATTGGAGGGACTCTTGACTCTTCTAGTCTTCTTGCTTGTTCCTGACTTCTTTGAAGCCTCCGCTTTCTTAGGAGTTGGTTTAGGCATCTCAGAATCATCTCCTTCATCCTCTTCCTCTGAGTCTTCTTCTTCTGAATCAGGTTCTCCTTCGGCTTCCTCAATTTCTCCCCCTGTGGGCATGGATGAAATAATAAAAAACAACAATCTCAAGGTGAGGAGTACCTGAATGAATAATGAACACATTACTCAGAGTTGCTTCAACATATTCGTGGACTGTTGCACGAATTTGCTGACACTGTACATGTTGCCTGCTTCCTTAGTCCGAGCTCCATCTTTATCAATGCTTTTTCTGCATCCTTAAGAGTCTCCAACATATTCTTGTAGTCCTTCTTTCCTTTACCCTTCTTCCTTTTGATTTTTGTCTCAACCACCAGGGGTTTTTGAATCACCTCAGTGTTCTCCTTTGGATCAATGAGTTATGGGCACTGCTTGGTGAGGATGCTTTGAATTAGGCAGTGATACGACAGTCTGAACCTTGCTCTGAAGTTCAGGGCTCTCTCTAGAATATGATCGAAGATCATATTTCCAGAGTTCAAAGGAAACATATGAAATAAGGACATATTACAGACATTGTGAATCGTGCTCGATTAACTTTATTATATCACAACGACATTCAAGTCACTCATATTAGTCCGACCAATTCGAGGAACTACTTGAACAATGTCGTTATGATCGATCACAACCCAAACCCGGCTGCAAACAAAGTTCCATATTATATGAGTACTAGGAGGAACCAAGACCGCCTGAATGTATGGGTTTTCCCGCTCTATCACTTCCACTGCGTATTCCCAATTTTTTTCCAAGGAGCTCTGGCCATGAATCCTTCCCTATATTGTAAGGAAGCAAACGAGATTAAGACAAAATATCATATACATATAACTCAGTGGTTTGAAAATGAAACGTCTTTATAACAAAGTATTATTACGCATAATGAGAATCAGTAAGAACTAAGAAAATAGGTTACGCCATACGTAGAATGTGTAATCCAAGAACATGCAGTTTTTAATATAACGTGAATATTATAAACAAGGGTTGTTTAAAATCGACTCTGGTAAGTTGATATTAAATTGAAGAAGAAGAAGAAGAAGAAGAAGAAGAAGAAGAAGAAGAAGAAGAAGAAGAAGAAGAAGAAGAAGAAGAAGAAGAAGAAGAAGAAGAAGAAGAAATTTAAGCATCAATTTTTAATAACTAATTACTTAATTACCTTTACATATTTTTAGCGTTTCTTCCATTCTCTTAGATAAAGCTTTATTTATTTTTTGGTTATTTGTTGTATGGACTATGAAAGTAATAGTGAATGGGACATCTCACTCTCTCCCTCTCTATCTCACTTGCGTGGATTTTTTTCACCCCTTGCAATAGTTGGGCCCATCGTTTGATATAATAAAATTAATTCGCTCATTACTACATTTAATGGAGTGATTAGTGGGTTCGGTATCTTCCTAATTATTCATATGAATTCATACTCTAAATAAATTTAGTATACATACACACACATATATATATATATGAAAAAGTTGAACCCTCAAAGAGTAATGCGGAAAATCAATCAGTTCTATTCACTTGAGAAAGATAGTCAAGTACAACTCACTTTTTATTGTAAGAATCGTACTTACTACACACCCGAAATTCTCCCTGAGTTTCTTCCCCTCTCATAATGAATCCTACTGATTAAAAAACCTCACAACACAAATCACTCACCAGAGAAAGGAGATTTGCCCAATCGGTTGTTGGGATTTTTAGAGTAAATGAATGGGAATTTAGAATCTCTCAAAAGGATTCATGCTTCACGTGTATTACAAGTATGGTGGAGGAGTTAAATGCTTGTAAAAGACGTGCCATGAATTAGTTTAGTGTTAAGGATTCGTCGGAAGAGTTTACGTTCGGTTTTGAACGTAAAGAGTGATCTCAGAAAAAAATGGGAGGGCAGCTCGAAAATATGAGCTGACACCCTGTTTTTTCTGAGGAATAAAGCTCATAAATAAATGGGCGGTAGCTCAGAAAAACCGGGAGGGCAGCCTGTTTTTTCTGAGCAATTCGGAAATAAACGAGCGGGTAGCTCGACAAAACGGGCGGGCAGCCCGTTTTTTCTGAGCAGATCGGACTGAGCGAAAAATCGCGACCGCTCGGGAAAAACTTCTTATTTCTTCACACCTTTCGACATTTGGAGTGTTTATTAACACCCATGGATATCCTAACACGAAAGAGAACAGATCTAATTTGTTTTTTAAGAGATTTGAGAGCACTTTTGTGGTTGTTCTTGCAAAACACACACAAAAGCCTTTTGTTCATCTTCTTCTTGCAATTTCTTGTGTTTGTGTTCTTAGTAGAGCAAACTAAGATCACTTCTCTCTTCATTGTATCTCAAAGACGTATTCCGGAAAGTCCTTTGCTCGTATAGGACGGAATAACGTTTTTAGGAAAGTGTATCACGCCTTGAAGAGTTATCTGGTTCCTATTTACTTTTCTGTTATTGTTCTTCTTTTTATATCCCAGATTTCTAACATCGGTCTCCCTCTCAGACTCACACTCACCAAATAATGAGAACTCAGTCACTGAACGAAATAGACTAAGAAATTATGCTCATACTCTCTGTAGAGCTGATATGCACTTGACCCTCTATTTAAACTACTTTGGTTCGTCTTCAGATTTCCACAAAATGATTTGATCGACTTCTCCTTGATTCTTGCTGATTTTGATTCTATCTTCAAGATCTCATCTTATCTATTGTTTTTGACTCTATCTCTTCAGCCTTTGACTCTATCTCTTTAGCCTTTGACTTTATCTGAATCTCGTCAGTTGCACCTCAGGTTTGCTCGATTGCTATCTCGCCGGATTCTTCTCCTGAAATCTCTCATAAGTTGTTGAACCTGCAACAACCTTTTAACAACCAAAATAACATGTGCCAATAATTGCATTAACAATCTCCCCCTTTTTGGTTATTTCAGATCATGCACACAAACACAAACCCTTCCAATGATTTCATCAAGGCTAGAGTCATCAAAAGACACGGTTACAAAAAAAAAACAGAAAACTTCAGTTCATCACATAGAATCATCAAGAGCATAGAAGTTCAGATCATAAGCAAACGAAACTCAAAAACGAAGTGATGAGTCATCGGAGGGACTCTTGACTCTTCTAGTCTTCTTGCTTGTTCTTGACTTCTTTGAAGCCTCCGCTTTCTTAGGAGTTGGTTTAGGCATCTCAGAATCATCTCCTTCATCCTCTTCCTCTGAGTCTTCTTCTTCTGAATCAGGTTCTCCTTCGGCTTCCTCAATTTCTCCCCCTGTGGGCATGGATGAAATAATAAAAAACAACAATATCAAGGTGAGGAGTACCTGAATGAATAATGAACACATTACTCAGAGTTGCTTCAACATATTCGTGGACTGTTGCACGGATTTGCTGACACTGTGTTGCCTGCTTCCTTAGTCCGAGCTCCATCTTTATCAATGCTTTTTCTGCATCCTTAAGAGTCTCCAGCATCTTCTTGTAGTCCTTCTTTCCTTTACCCTTCTTCCTTTTGATTCTTGTCTCAACCATCAGGGGTTTTTGAATCACCTCAGTGTTCTCCTTTGGATCAATGAGTTCTGGGCATTGCTTGGTGAGGATGCTTTGAATTAGGCAGTGATACGGCAGTCTGAACCTTGCTCTGAAGTTCAGGGCTCTCTCTAGAATATGATCGAAGATCATATTTCCATAGTTGATCTTAGTTACTTTCTTCACACAGTAGATGAGTACTGCTAACCTCTTGTGAATCAGACTTGATCGCTGGGTTGGTATCCAGTTAGATCTGGCTATTTTGAACAGTACTGAAGCCTCGAAGTTCAGCTCTACTAGGCTATTTCACCTTTCCTCTTTTCATCAAAAGTATCAGTGAGAGCTATCTCCACCTCTTTCTGGTCAATCTCCCTGTCCAGCTCATCCATGGTAGTCACAACTGTGTTCTTCAAGCCCAAAATCTTGTTGATTACTGCTGGAGAAAAATGCAGTATCTTTCCTCTTATGTACACCCGATGGTACATTGGATCCCCTGCCTTCACAATCTTCTTAGTGATGTTTGCATAAAATTCTTTGATCAGAATTTTGCTGTGTGGACAAGCATAGGTGACTGTTTCTTCTAGACTTAGACATTCCAGGATATCCCATATCCCTTGTTCCTTGAGGTTGCTGACATTCACGTTTCTCTCCACAATCATGTTGAGATTCTTCATGTCATTGAACCTTTGTTCAGATTTCTCATCAACAAAGTGATGAGACATACACAGGCTCGTCAGTAATTCCTCATCTTCTGACCCAGAAGGAGAACTGAGTATCTCACTTTCTTCCTGAACTTTTCTCTTCCCCTTCATCTTCTCCTTTTGATATTCCTTAGAAAGCTTTGAAAATTTTGCCTGCGGCATATCTTTTGCTAGTTCAGCCTTCCTCTTCTCGGGTTTCTTAGGGGTCTTGTGCTCAGTAATCACCAAGGCAAGTTGTGATTTTATCTTCCTTTGAACCTTTTTAGGAGGACTTTTTGCAGTCACCACTGGTTTTGCAGCCAATTGAGATCTGGTCCGTGCCCTCTGTTCAGCTATAACTCGATAGTCAGAAACCTTGCCCTTTCTCTCAGCGATCTTTGCCTTAGGTTTCTTGCTTTCAACCTTTTGTGCACGTGAGTCCACTTCAGGTTCATCTGTTGGTTTAGTGCTCTATGATGTACTGATTATGAGCTTTGTTCAGATACATTCGATGTATTGATACTTTCTCTGTGTTTTTTTATGAGAGTATCTTGTTCATTACATGTTCTTGCATGCTAGATCTGTTATGAAATCCATGTATCATTATGAATGATACTAAACTCCCTAGTCTTGTGTCATTATGGGAATAACGACATAATAAGACTAGTATGATGTGTGATTGATGATCACATAGATGATCATAGGTATTGGATACGATCACAATCATAGGTATTCGTTGCAGAACGGAATACTGGACTGACCCGCATGAGATTGTCACATGGACTAGCGTCATGACTTGAATCTCATACGACGATTCCATGATTGGATCCTAAGACCTGAGATATCTACAAAATCCAACATGAGGAGTTGCAGTCGAATCAGATAAGGTGGCTTGTCCATGCCTTATGTTCGACATATGATATCGCGATACAAAAGGATCATCAGTCGGAATCATCACTGGCTTTCGTATGATCACAAACAAACTCTATTCGAGATAGGTAGTCATAGTGTCTTGCTAGAGACCGCCTATGACTTGTATTACCGGAATGGAGATTCTGCGTTTTACTGCTATTCCGGATGAGCCTATAGGGTCACACACAATAGGGATGGACAAGTACGTGTGCTAAATTATCCCGATTAGGAATCCTAATTGGATTGAGATTCCTAATTGGAATAGGAATCCTAATGGGATTAGGAATCCTAATGGGATTAGGAATCCTAATGGGATTAGGAATCCTAATGGGATTAGGAATCCTATTATGTATAGGAATCCTAATGAGATTAGAATTCTATTACATCTAGGAAACCTAATGAGATTAGAATTCTAATAGGTTTAGGAAACCTAATTAGATTAGGATTCCTATTAATCTATTCCTTGTCAAATTAGGATTTTTGGAAAGTCTATATAAGGAGAATGTCTTCTAGGGTTTTAAGATAACAAAGAGAAGAAAAAAAAAAGAAGAAAAATAAAACCCTAAGCCTCCAAAAACCTTGCACACAAGAGAGATCGAGATCTCTAGTCCTAGCAGACAAGTTCCAAGTTGTTGGAATCCATCCCGACGTGTGGATACGTGTAGAGGGCGAGGTATTCTTCCTGCCTAGAGTGATCGGACGAACAAATCAATTGATATAGGCCCCGGATCGATTGAGGTAAGCGTTCTAACGTTTCTATGATTCAATAGTAGCATGGTTCTAGGGTTTCATTAAAATTTTTGTTTTATATCCGCTGCGCAAACCCTAGAATCGATCTCTTAGGAATTAGATTCGCTCATGAGATCCCAGGAAACACAACATCATCATCCTCTTTTGCTTTCAGCACTTCTGTCTCTGATGCTGAGTCTGCAACTACTTCTATTTCAGCATCCTTCGACTTCTCCTGCCCTAATTGAACTGAGGGCAGTTCCTTCATCTGTTTGGGTGTATCACCCACATCCTTTCCAGACTCTACATGCTCTACACTTGCATCCTTATAAAAATCTACACGCCTTCTTGTTCTTCTTCTTATCAACCTAGGCTCACTATCTGAACTTTCCTCTATATCTCTAGTAGAGTAAGTAAAGAGTTCATCAAGTTTACCCGTATCAACTTGTTTTGGAGGCAGAGAGGATTGTAGATCCTCAGTTTCCTTGCACTAATCTTCGATCCTAGGGTTTCCTTCTACCGGTTCTTCTGGGATCTCCGCGTCTGTTTCTTGGATCTTCTCCTCTGGGCTTTCGATTTCTTGGATTTCGTCGCCCATTGTATCTTCCTTGCTAGTCTGTACAGTCTCCCTCGAATTTCTGCGAGATTCTTCTGATGGATTTTCTTCTGGATCTTCTTCAGCACTCACAAATGAGTTCGAAGATTCTTCTTTCCTGGGTTCACTTGATTTTCCTTCTCCAGATGAACCTTCCTCTGATTCTAGATGATGATCCTCACCTGTTTCTTTTCTCGTTTCTTTTGGATCCATGCTGAGGCTGATTCTAGGAATCTTACTCTCTTCGTGTTTCTTGTAAATCAAGCTCTCGAAATTTAGGGTTTTTCAGCTTCAGAACTTCGCAGGGATAGAGAGAGAGACACTCTTTTTATTTTGGGGCGAAGGGTTTGTTTGAGAAATCTCTGATTTTCCGAATCCCACTTCCCCATAACCGAAAATTTACTCAACCACTCACATCAATCATTTCGAGAAATAACGTTTAAAAACATTTAAAACAGAAATCCGTTACGCGATAAAATTACGATTTTAACACCATAAGAAGTTTATTCTTTCGTACCTCAGTTCGCAGTGCATCCAGTTGAGTCAGTGACACCTCACGCTTCATCCAGTGCTTACTTCACCCAATAGGAATATAATTATTTCTTGTAATTAATCCGCCTGAACTTCTAGGACGTTAAGTCCAATCATGATGTTTTACAACTTAAGTCCAGCCTATCTTACTGAGATATACTCTTGTAACGTATCAACTTACAGCGGAGTATGATGAATGAGTATCATCTGGCCTTAGACCGACGAATGGACTGTATATGGTTTAACTTAGACCCGAGCGATTTTAATAATCTAATCATATCAGCACTTCCTTTTTTTTATTGCAAAGTTGGAACATAATACCAACATTCATTCACTTCGTACTGAGTGTATGCTGACAGAGTAGCAGGGGATTTTCGTATCACCAATGTCTGAAGTGCACCTGACTACTTTGTGAGGTACCACTGACCGCCCTTTCAACACTGTTTCACTTAAACACTTCAGAACAAACTCAGTTAGTGATAAAAAATTTCCAATACCGAGAGATTTTTGCGAACATGTAAATTTGTTCATGTCAAGTGATTTAGTAAATATATCAGCTAATTGATATTCAGTGGGTACGTACTCAATCAGAAGACTCCCTTTCTCCACTTGCTCTCTGAGAAAATGATGTCTTATCTCTATATGCTTTGTTCGTGAATGCTGTACTGGATTCTTAGAGATGTTTATTGCACTTGTGTTGTCACAATGAGCTGTAAACGAGTGAGTGTCAATTCCATAATCAGTCAGCATTTGCTTCATCCACATTAGTTGAGTACAGCAGTTTCCCAGTGCGATGTACTCGGCTTCAGCAGTGGATAGTGACGTTGAATTTTGTTTCTTGATGTGCCATGATACGAGGTTGTTACCCAAAAAGAAACACCCTCCTGATGTGCTTTTTCGATCATCCGTGTTTCCTCCCCAATCTGCATCACAGTATCCTACTAGATGCGTACTCGTATCCTTTGTGTAATGAAGCCCATAATCAACCGTCCCTTTGACATATTTGATTATCCTTTTTACTTCCAGGAGATGAGACTTCTTAGGTTTTTCTTGATATCTTGCACATACGCCCACACTCAAGCACAGGTCAGGTCTACTTGTCGTTAAATACAGTAGACTTCCGATCATACTCCTATAGAGTTTTGGATCAACATCTTCTCCTTCATCATCTTTGGTCAACTTAGTGGTTGTTGACATGGGAGTACGTGCTGATTTGTACGTGTCGAGTTCAAATCTTTTCACCAGATTCCGAGCATACTTCCCTCGAGAAACAAAGATTCCATCTTTGTCTTGCTTGACTTGTAGTCCCAGAAAGTAACTGAGTTCTCCAAACATACTCATCTCAAACTCAGCAGTCACTGTCTGAACAAACCAGTCAACCTTTGACTGAGCTGTGACCCAAACACAATATCATCCACATAGATTTGTACTACTAATAGTACATCGTCCGAATTATGGATGAAAAGCGTTTTGTCCACTCCCCCTCTTTTGTAGCCGTTCTCGAGCAAAAAACTGACTAAACGTTCATACCATGTTCGAGGAACTTGTTTTAACCCATAGAGAGCTTTCTTCAATCGGTACACGTGAGTGGGGAAAGTGCGGATCTTCAAATCCAGCAGGTTGTTCAACGTACACTTCTTGAATCACACCATTTAGAAAGGCACTCTTGACATCCATCTGAAACAGCTTAAAACCAAGAAAACACGCAATGCCAAGCAATAATCTAATGGATTCTAGTCGAGCAACGGGTTCAAAAGTTTCATCGAAGTCAATACCTTCCACTTGTTGTATCCTTGAGCGACTAACCTGGCTTTATTGCGAACTACTTCTCCCGATTCATTTGTTTTGTTCTTGAAAATCCATTTTGTTCCAATCACATTAATGTTATCTGGTCGGGGAACAAGATACCACACATCATTTCTCACGAATTGCTCCAATTCTTCATGCATTGTCGTCACCCATAATTCGTCCTTCAATGCTTCATCCACCTGGGATGGTTCATTATGCGAAGAAAAACACACAAAACGTACCATATCTTGATAATTCATTCGTTTACCTCTTGTACGCATAGGATCGAGAACATTTCCAATCACATCTCCTTCGAAATGATTCCTGTGAACTGTAGGTGTGGGACCAGTTTCCACTTCTTCCTCTTCCTTGGATTCAATTTCTGCATCATCACTCTGTTCATGTTCTACTGAGTGCTCACTGGGAACATTCTGAAGTAGTTTCGGCAGGACTTCACCCTGCTCTGCACTATGTTCCTCATCAAACAACATTAGCTGATTCCATAATCGTTTTAGTACGCAAATTGTACACTCGATAAGCAGCAAAGTTCATTGAATATCCCAAGAATATACCTTCATCACTTTTGGCATCGAACTTCCCTCTGTATTCACGATCATTTAACACAAAACATCGACAACCAAATACATGAACAAACTTTAGAGGAGGGGTCTTACCTTTCCAGATCTCATAAGGTGTTTTGGCTGTGCCTGGTCTGATATGAACTCGGTTAACTAGGTAGCATGTTGTACTTACTGCTTCTGCCCAGAAATATTTTGCAACGTTTCTTGCATGTAACATAGTCATCGCCATTTCTTACAGTGTCCTATTCTTTCTTTCTACCACTCCCTTCTGTTGAGGAGTTTTTGGTGCAGAATACTCGTGGATAATCCCATATTTGTTGCAGAACTCTGCAAACTGTTCATTCTCAAATTCACATCCATGATCACTCTGAATTCTCTGAACACTTCCTTTTCCATTTCAGAGTTGCAGCCATAAGTGCTCGAATACACCCAATGTTTCTGACTTCTCTCTTAAGAACCTGACCCAAGTAAAACGTGAGAAATCATCAACACATACAAACACATACCTCTTTCCTCCAAGACTCTCCGTCTGCATTGGTCCCATCAAATCCATGTGCATCAACTCGAGGATTTCAGATGTGTGTATCCCATCGATCATTTTATGATTCACCTTGATCTGTTTTCCAAGTTGACATGCTTTACACACTAGTGTTACCTGCTGTGATAACTCAGGTAATCCTCGTACAACATTTGATCTTGACAGCTTCACTAACGACCTTGTGCTAATGTGTCCCAAACGTTGATGCCATAACTCGAGTTCAGAGTCAGCTGCTGTGAAGCACTTCCCACTTTGAGTGCTTTCGTCAGGATTTACCCAAGTGTAGCAATTACTTGGAGTTCTTTTTCCTGTTAACACGCAATCTCCAAGAAAGTTTGTAACAACACAAGCATCTTTAGTGAAGTTTACCTGAAATCCAGAGTCACATAGTTGACTGATGCTTATGAGATTTGCCCTGAGTCCTTGGACAACATTGACATCTGTAAGTTTGGGCAGTCCTGATGCATCCAGATTTCATTTGCCCAAGATCTTTCCTTTTCTTCCATTTCCAAATGTCACGTTCCCTCCTTTGAGATTTTCTATGAATGTAGACAGCATACTGACATCTCCTGTCATATGACGTGAGCATCCACTGTCAAAATACCACTGTTGTTCGCTTGTGTTCAGTTCAAAAGTGTAAGCCACATTACACCTCGAAACATCTTTTCTTCTCCAGACTTGCCTCCATCTCAGAGTGGGTGGTACCTGATAATTTTGCCAGTAGTAGCAATTGATTCTGATGTGACCTCTTGTTCCACAGTAGAAACAAGTGCGATACTCTCGATATTTCGGCGGTCTTTGTCTTGGATATAGATTAATCTTGATCTTTGGAGTCTGTTTTACTTGTGAGATTACTTCATCTCCAAGTTTTCCTCCTGAAACAAAGTTTCCTACTTTGTTTTTACTCCCTCCAGTATATCAAGTCCAGTATGTCCAGAATCTTTTCGCCCGATTGTCAGTAGGTGCTCCAGTTTGGCAGTACCATTGCCAAGCATTCTCACATTCTTCATGGTACTTTCCAACTGATTCTGTAGTAAGATAATCTTCTCCTCTTTATCCTTTAGTTGCTTCTTCAGATCATCAACTTCTGATACTTTCGTATCCAACTGCTCCTTGATTTCCAAGAACTTTACCTCATTCTCCTTCTGTTCTTTGATCAATCTTGTGTTGATATCGTACAACCTTGACATATCCTTGTACAGATCTTCTTCGGATATCTCTTCTTCAGTCTCTTCGATTATTCCAATGAATGCAACGAAGTTTGACATCTCTTCTCCACTTTCCTCATCAGAATCTGTTTCAATTTCTTCATGAGTGATAAGAGATTTACCTTTTGTTTTACCATTTGCACACTCATTCTTTGTGTGTCCATATCCTTTGCACTCATAGCATTGAATATCCTTCAGATTCTTCAACATTGCCTCCCTTTTGGCAACGCTGGGACATTCGGCCCTCCAGTGACCCGCTCCCTTGCATTTTAGACATTTTCCAGAATTTCTTGTCTCTCCTTTTCCAGTGGTCACTGGTTTTTTCTTGAAAAACCTGTTGAACTTTTTTACGATCATCGCCATGTCTTCCTCCAATGATACTTAACTTGGATCCTCAGATGACCTTGGAACATGAAATGCCAACCCCTTGGTTGGAGTCGCCCCCTTTGGCTTTTCATATAGTTCCAGTTCTAACTCATGAGTAGCAAATGCACCAACTGTTTCTTTGAAACTAATAGTATCCACATTGTTTACCATAGTAAAAGCAGATTTATGAGACATAAACTT